TTCCAACTTGCATACCTTATGCGGCAATATGCCTTGAGACAAACCAGAGACGCTTAGTAACTAAAGCATGGCTCTCAACTTTTAAATTTTGGCTGCGCCTCCTCTATAGAAGTGAGCCTAATAGTCTCATCGCTTATATGCTATGTGAATCTCACATATCAGATTGGTTGACATGTGTTGAAGGGAAAATTACACTGATGGGGCTCAGCATGGATGATTTGATCCTTCTTTCAGGGAAGTCCCCTTTTGGCATAATTAAACAGAGATTGATCGATATAGAAATGCAAGAACTTAGAAGCCTTGCTACTGGGCATTGCTCTCCCATTCATTGGGGGATTTCTCTTAATGGGCCGCTGCAGGAGTATTTTTCCTGTCTGATTGATCCCTATATTAGAAGGGTATTCACACTGGCCCGTTTTAATGTTCTCCCCTCAGCTGTGTTATATGGGAGACTTTAAAAAAATACCATTCCCGGACAGGTTATGCCCCTGTAGGCTAAAGGAGATTGAAGGAACGGACCATGTACTCCTGACTTATAGATTTTACCAGGATTTGTGCGCTTATCACCTCGGCCCTATACTGCAAACCCTGGAGGGCAAATCTGAGGAAAGTAAGATAATGAACCTTCTAGCCTCAAACAGGGCTGATACCATCGAAGAGGTGGCAAACTTCCTTTACAGAGCGTATAGGAGGAGAAGTTCTTTTTCGGCAGAAGGGGTAGTGAATTAACTGTTTTGCGTGCCTACCGCCTCTGTAGCTAAGGCTGCTGCTGTTGTAGCAGAATAAGCGTGGTGAGCCACAGCATACAGACGATCGAGTGAAGAGCTGCTGCCTTAGGGAACAAGAGGAAGGTATCCTTCATGCATTCTTTGTCTTATTGACCATGGAACACAAGGGCACAATCTCCGTTTTCGGCAGCAACCAGCCCCAGACCAGCTTAGCTGCAGCAAAGTTACTGTGTCATGTACATTTCAGCCACAGTCTGGGCCTTCAGCACCAGTCCTTGTAAGCATGCTTACTGCTCTGTATAATTTGGATTGTGTGCGTGTGGATATTATGGACAGAGATGCCCCTCCCTTTATACTGTAACACCCAAGGAAGTTGATTTACGGTTATTTTTTAATTGACAACATAGAGAGCTCTCACACTACACACAATCAGCCTGTGGCTTTCATTCCCCCAAAGAGGTGGCAGTAACTTTAAACAAGGTTAGCTAATTGATGGAGGCCTGTCATTGATTGTTAATCATGAATGTTGGGACTTCTGTGTACAGAAGCTCTATACAACTTAAGACCAGATGCTGGTGACTAGGCTATTGTTGTTTCCTGTCCCGTTTTACAGTTCTACAAATAGTCGCAGATGTGGGAGGCATTGCATTCTGGATCCAGTTTTGTCTGCACTCCATCACTGTCAGCAGCATCTGGAGGCTCTGCTGGTGATAGCTTCTGAAGCCTGAGAACTCCACAGTTAATTAGCAAGAATTTCTCTCCAGGATTTCTGATCAATGGCATACCGGCTTCAGTCGAAGCCTAAAGATCATATAGATTTTCGTACCATTTGCATTTTCTTGGAGCCACACTTAAAGCAGTGGGTTCACAAACTCTGTACCTGTGGCAAAAGGAATACATTTGACAGAACCCCAAAAACTCTGCACACTCAGAAACATGGTACACTTGCACAACATTTCACAAGTGACGGTGTTTACAATGAAATTCTTAAGTCTTTTTATGTGATGCTTCTGAATCTCTGGGTCTGGATCAGAGAGTATTTCAGCATCTCATTATTAAACAAATTGTAATTTTTAAAAAATGCACTGTCTGCATGCTCAGCTGTGGGGAATGTCTTCTTTTAAGAAAAGGCCGCATAAAATGTGGTGGATAGATTGGAAGAGAAGCAGGAAGGTGGACAAGTCATAAGAACACAAAAGCCTGCTGGATCTGACCAGTCGCCTATCTAGTCCAGGATACTGTTTCACAAAGGAGGCAACCAGTGTCCCCGGGGAACCGAACAAACAAGGCATAGAGGCAGAGGCCCTCCCCTGCTGCTGTCTTCCAGCCCTGGTATTCAGAGGTTTGCTGCCTCTGTAGATGGAGGCGCTCCCTTCAGTCACCAGGACTAGTAGCCATTGGTTGACCCTCTTCTCCATGAACCTATCTAAATAATCTCCTTTACAGCTATTTATACTTGTGGCCGTCGCTACCTCCACTGGCACTGAAATCAATTACTGAGTAAAGAAGTATTTCCTTTTGTCTGTCCTGAACCTGTTTCCCAACAATTTTCTCATGTTCTCATGTTATGGGAGAGGAAGAAAAAGCTCTCTCTCATCTACTTTCTCCACCCCATGCATAACCGTCTTTGTTACCCTCATTTGTACTTTTCCAGCTCTGCAATGCCATTTTTGAAATATGGTGAGCCAAACTGCACACAGTAATCCAAATAAGGCCACAACATCGCTTTATACGAAGGGCATTAGAATATGGTTGTCCATTCTGTTTTCAACCCCTTTCCTAATAATTCCTAACATGGAGTTTGCCTTTTTCGCTGCTGCCACTCACTAGGTTGACGTTTTCATTGAGCTTTCCAGTACAACCCCAAGATCTCTTTGCATCTCAGTCTAAGCCAGTTCAGACCACATCAGCACATATTTAAAATTAGGATTTTTTTTTGTTCCAATGTGCATCACCTTACACTTACCCATGTTCAACTCCATTTGCCACGTAGTTGCCTGCTCACCCAATTTAGAAAGATCCTCCTGTAGCTCTTCATAATCCGTGTTGGTTTTCACCGTCCTGAATAATTTGCTGTCGTCTCCAAACTTGGCCACTGCATTGCTCATCTCCAATTCGAAATCATTTATAAACAAATTAAATAGCACTGGTCCCAAAACCAATCCTGCTGGGACTCTATTGCTCATTTCCCTCCTTTGGAAGAACTATCCATTTATTCCTACTTGCCACTTCTAATCCATAAGAGGACCTGTCCTCTTCTCCCATGGCTGCTAAGCTTACTCAGGAATCGTAGGTGAGGAACTTTGTCAAAAGCCTTTCAGAAGTCTGTGTATTAGATATCTACTAGATCACCCTTATCCATATCATTGTTAAACTTGCTCAAAGAACTCCAAAAGGCTGGTGACGATGTGACAGAACTTCTATTTGCAGCAGCCTTGCTGATTTTCCCTTGACAGACTTTGTTCCTTGATGCATTTAATAATTCTCTAATAACAGTTTTTGCTAATTTACATGGAATGTTAGTCTAACTAAGCTGTAATTTCCTGGCTGTCCTCTGGGCCCCTTTTAAAACATTGGGTTGACATTTGGGTTGACATTTGCTGTTTTCCAGTCATCCTGCACAGAGGCCAAAATTAGCAACTAGTTATATACAATTTACA